AAAATATTGAATGAATTATTTAATTAAGTTTAATATCTTTCAAATATCATTCAAACCTGACAAAACTTAACAATATGTTCAAAATTATAGAAAAATATTTTGAATATTGAAAATGTCTTTGTTTAACTATCTACTTTTCATATGATTATTAGTTTAACAATGTTGAATTAACCTTTTATAGAATAAATAGGAAGCTTTTGTTGCAAAAATGAGTGAAAACCAATGATCAAGAATGTAATAGTAAATATAAATAATTTGTTTAACTATATATTTTTCACATGATTTTCAATCTTTTATAGGACAACTATGAATCTTTTGTTGTGAAATCCAAAAATCAATTAATAAATAACTATAATAATTAATAAATTATTTCATCCAGGGATTAAGACCAATTAATTATTATTAATGGTAGTATAATATAAAATTGGCATATAATAAACTGCGAAAAAATGACCTTCGATCGGAGATCAGATATGGAATTTTTTTTTTATTTTTTTTTTTTTTGTTTATTTATCATAGCAATCTATACAATGTACATTAGGCTAAAATTTTTGACAATTATGGAAAATGGCGTGAGAAGGATAACTACCCACTGATAGCTCCTTCTAATTACAATGTCTTAATTAATAATTATAAACTATTCTTTTAATACACATATTTATATATAAAGATATGGAATTTGTCTTTAAATTGGTAGCTCCCTTTATTTGTTCTCAGATAAAGCACTTATAAAAAAAGCGGAATTGAGAAGTTAAAAACAAAATAACGTATTAATTAATTAAATTAAATTAATAAATGGTACGATTATATGTAAAAATACAAAATATAAAATATATAATAAATTGATACTAAATATATTTTCATTTCAGCTTATAAGGCTCTTAAATTCTGATTGCTAATGAAAATATATAAAAAAAATGTAAGATAATAAATTCATAAAAAGTTATTACTATATGTATTTTAAAAACTTAATATTGTGCTTTATTTATTAAATTGTTATTTTATTATCAATAATTCTTACTGTTTTAATAAGAAATTAATTATTATTAGTAATTGTTATTGTTAATTTATATTGCCAATGTTTACTACTTTTTTCGTTTTTCGTTTTAATTTTTACTATTTTTTTCATAATATTAATGTTTTTTTTATTTTAAATAACAGCGAGTAGATAATAATCAATGAATATACTGACTAAATTTTTGTATGTTAATTCTCATATATAGCTCTTCACAGCTCTTTCGATTGATGCTAGATAATTTGTTAAAAAAAAATGAAAAAAAAAATACTCGGATTTTTTGTTTCAGGATCGAACAATGTACTGCAATTAGCTACAGAATGCAGTTACTTGTTATGCATGAGCTTGGCAAAAGCTTGAAATAATATATTATAATGAGGGTTTGCTTATGAATAAATAATAAATCAATTAATAAGCAATAACTATTCCTAAGTAAATTAATGCTGTATCCATTTATAAACCGTTTTCGTATATAATTAGAAAATTTTCCGTAATTAAGAATTTGAGCCCGAGCCTGGCATTCCTTCCGATGTCGATGAAACAAACAAGTTGTCGATGGGTCTGTGCCTGTGCCTGTCTAGTCGTTTTTGCACAACTCGACATCACCGTCGTGCGTCATAATAGAAATGAATATTAATATTAATTCATTCGGTCTAAAATAGAAGGTGCGTTTGTGTGGTTTACGGGTCATTTGCTTCGGTCGCATTTTTGCGTCGCGTTCTTGGATTACGCAAGCGGTGGCGCCTGCTGGCTAATCCTTTCCGTCTCCGCTCATTAGGGCCCCTGGGACTCAGACCTCCTGATCCAATTACTGCTGTGTGGACAATGGACACGCCGGACCTCGACCCTATCCCATCTACCTGGTAATAATACCAAGTATAGAGCAAGCAAGGCTTCCTAAAGTAGGGGTCGCGACCGCCAGGCGGGTCGCGAGACTACTAAAAAGGGGTCGCAAAGATCTGATACTTTTCAATCATTATAACAAAATTTTAAATTAGTATACTAGGCCAACTATTTTCACGATAATTTGGCTTCTCAAAGCTATGCTTATTGGCCAATATTTTTTGATAAAATCAATGATATGAATTTATCAATGCACGCAGTCTGAGTTAATATGTTTATGCTAAAATAAAACTTGAGGCCTTTGTTAAAATAATTCTTATATGGAAAACAGAGTAGGAAGTAGATCACTTGAATGTTTTCCATTTACTGACGAGTATAATTATAACAATATTTCAAAAAAAGATACTCCTATAACAAAAATTATAGTTCATTTGAAGAATTGGAAGTTTACATGCATAGGTATTTTCTCAATGATACCGATACACAACAATGGATTTGCAATCCACTTTCAATTGAAATGGAAGAAATTAATTTTTCAAACTCAAAAGCACAAGAAGAATTTACCGAATTAACAAGTGATACTACCTTGCGACTCAGATTTTTTCAAGTGTCTGTGCATTAATTTTGGATTGAAATCAAATCAGAATATTCCCTACTATCGGAAATGGCAATAAATAATTTACTGCCATTTTGTGCAACATATTTATGTGAATCAGCCTCTTCTACATTAACTTACATAAAATCAAAATACCGTTCAACTTTAATATACGTTGAAAATTTATTACGATCTGCACTAACTTAAATTAAGCCTAGATTTAATTATTTGTGTAAAAATAAACAATCTCATTCATCACATTAATATTGTTTGATGTTAATAATGGGTTTTCTTTAAAAAATGTTACAAAATTTTATTTTTTTATTGAATATGTAGATATAGTTTTATGCTTTTTAATAAAGAATTTGTTACAAAAGATTATTTTTTCTATTGAATAAATATATATATATATATATATATATAATATATATATATATATAGTTTTATGTCAACGTTTCCAATTATAAATAACATGAATGGGTACATATTCTTCAATCATTATTTTATTTACATTGTAAAATAGTGCGATAACGGTTAATATATATTTTATTATTTGGAGGAGGGGGTCGTTTAAAATTTCTTAAGCTTGAAGAGGGTTGCTATATAAAAAAGTTTGAGAAGCCCTATACTATAGAGTGCTAGAAGAGAGCACTACTACGCCCGCACAATCGTGTTTGCACGGAACGCGCCGGGGGTCAAAATATGACCCATAATTTACAAAAGTCAAGAGCACTACAGAGAACAAAAAGGGAAACCCGAGAGAGAAAAAAAACACACACAAAACACGGACAACAACTCCTCCATAAATAAATAAATAAATATATAAATAATAAGAAGCAGAAGAGGAGCGAAAAAAATGAAAGCACTTCACACACGCGCGATGGGAAACGGTAAAAAGGTAAGAGATGGTGAAGAAATGCTCAATTATAAACCTGGGAGTAGGTGATGTATTTAGAAATAATAACGGAACAGAACTAATTGTGCATGGCATCGTGCATTAAGGCAAACTGCTCGAACTTCTCGAACCGCAATTTAAAAGCTTTAAAATATGATGAAAACTTTGATAATGTGAAATTTTTGAGAAGTTTGAAATTTTTGGAAAAAAATTGTCATTTTTGAAAAAAATGTTTTTTATATGTTTTGAATTTTTTTCAAAGCAATCGCGCTGCGTAGCTATTTTAGAGAACCGAGTTGCAGTATAACATAAATGTTGCTACGGATCCCTTACACAAATGTAAAAAAAAAATTGTACTCATCAATCTCTATAAAATATCTAACAATTTGATGCGCATATGTCTAATAATAATTTCTGACTGCCAAATGCCATTTTTTTGCCTTTTTTCTGGATGACTGGACTGGACCTCCTTCCCAAAAATGTAATAATTTTTTCATTTCGTCAATACAAGGGCAATAGGTTTAAATAATTTAAATCGAAAGCTCTGTTCTCTCAAAAGCTAATTTACCACTTCTGGCACTTTTTGCCCCGTATCTTTAAAACGGCTCGACCTGCCCTGGCCAAAAACTAATCAGCACGTCTGCATCAATAGGAATCATTCAAATCGGTTGATCTTTGTTCTCAAAATCGTCGACATAAAATTGTATCCGCACACACATACACACACACACATATCAATTTTTTTAAGGTATGACAATATGTTCCGAAACCTTTGAAACGTAAAGATAAGTAAAAATTTCCATTTTTTTGCCATCACTATAAACTTAATATGCGAAATGTTAATAATATAAGGTTGTCAAATATCTCCCTTCCGCCTTTTTGTATTATAAACCAATAGCAAAAAAGCGGAAGGGAGATATTTGACAACCTATTAACACTAGAAAGACGGACGAATTGAATATACCTACATTGCCTGAAAACAGTCAAAATGACTGCGTCGTGAAAAAATAAATAATGCGTTTAGAAATTGTTTAAAATCAATTTTTATTATTTCATGTACTATTTACATTTATACAAATCATCTATAAGTGCTAAAAATAAAAAAATAGTTCATCTGAAAAAGAAGTTCATTATTTTTACAATTCATGCAAATATAATTTAAGATGTTTTTATGAATACATTTTCCGCAAACATGTTTGTTGCAACTTTGACACGTATTATTAGTTTTTATTATTATTACAAAGTCTTATTTAGCAAAATTTTCTTTTATTTCTATTGGTATTTGCATGATGTCTGTGGGTCATCATTTTCCTTTGATTTTTTTTGTGTTGATGTCGTGTAGTCCGCGGAAAGCTGTTCTGCCAATTCAAACAAAAACTGTTCTCTAAGAATTTGTTTTCTTTGGATTTATATTCCTGTCGCTTCCTTGTAAAGAATCCAGGCATTTATCGCAGTCAAATCCAAAATATTGAAAAATATTTGCAGAGGTCATCTACTGGATTTGAACTGGATTTCACGGTATATTTTCTTTACCTTCGATTTGTCATGTCTTCTTTGCTGACCATAAATAAGTCAATTTCAATTTTTTGCCTCATAGGCCCCACGAGCATATAAAATTCCAATAAATGCACGTATTTCCGGTAACGATGTTGTCAATCGTACTCCGAAATTCGACTGCCCTCTTCTTCTGTGCACTGTTTTATGTGTTTGATAATATAATTATCTATTATCAACGAAAATGCACTGACAAAATCACCTATAATAATTTTCTTTTTTGCATAGCTTGTTGGCCCTTTCATACCCTTGAAGACACAATTATATGATGACCTTCCTGGAGTACCACCTTCGGCAATTTTTGTCCATACAGTACCATCGACACCTATTTCCGTTTCATGAATTCTTTCATGGGTTTCTGAGCCACTTAGCACCCTCCTGCTTACACTGATGGCACTTTCATTTTCATCAATAGTGATCTCCTTCATCGCTACCCTCAGAATCAGATGATTCACGTGGAATATAATTCAATTCATCTTCAGATGATTGTGCCCAATTTTCTGCATTTTATTCTATGTCGGAACACTCTTCACTTATGTGTGTTAGCTTTTGCAACAATTCACTTCTCTTTGACATTTTATTTATAAGTTCTAAAAAATCAACTGAACAACGCGTTATACTGAAAGTTACTATGTGAAAAGACCGGTCTAATGTCAATACTTACCATAATTCGGTTATTTCTATGTAACAAATGCATTATGGCTCATTCGAGATGAATTATCGCGAGATAACGATTTGCAATACAATAACAAAGCCGTTTGTTTATGTAAATTTCTAGAGCAGTCAAAATGACTGTTTTCCGTCCATGCAGGCATAACATGTAAGAATATTGAAAATAAAAGTGAGATAAGGCAAATAATACGATTTATCTACGCATTCATATGTTGTATAAAAAGTCACAAAATTTCACGAAGCTGCGACTTCAAATACATAGTTATTTTTATGTTTGAAAATGGAAAACAGTCAAAATGACTGCGTCCGTCTTTCTAGTGTTAATAAAATATATAATTTCTGCGTTTTTTTGTTGTATTCTATTGCTTTTTACTGTATTCAGTTTTATATTTTTTTGTTTCTTGTAGATATGCCTATGGGTGTATACAAGTTTTTTTTTAAATATTAATTAAAAGTTTTCTGTATCTAATTTAATTTTTTTAACAGCAATCGGAGTGACATTCTATGAGCTGTGTTTGATATCGTACATTCTATCCTAGCATTTTTCTAATAGTAAACCACACTTCTTTTTCATGTATAGATTATATAAATATATTAAATACACATATTTAATAGTGTTAAAATATATGTGTTGCAGCAATGCCCACTAAAGGCGATTTTCAATTGGGAATATATTTGAGATCTATGACAAGAAAAAAATTTATATCATACTGCTTGATATCTGGCTGGCCAAGATTGGAATAGAACTCGAGACTAGTTTGTGCTAGCCCATATTCTTAACATTTACACCACGGTATGCTAGAACTTAGTTTAGCCATTTCCAATTACTTTAAAGTAGTATTTTATATTATGTATTATACATTGCATTACAAAGCATCTGAAGCTACTTTATATTAAAAAATAAATAATTAATTAATTAAATCCAGGCAAAAATTCCCTTATTTGCTGAAGAATTTATTATAATCGTGCACAGTGATACAAAAATGTATATTTCTATGATTTTTACCAAAACGATCAAAAGGTTTACTCCATCGGAATGTTATGTGCAATGCAATTATATCGAAATCCTTTCCAGAAAGGCAGAAAATCTTCCTGTTGACTTTCTCCGTCTGGCAGCTTAAGCGATATATTCATTTCTGGTTCCGAATGACTTCTGGTCTGGTTCATCGACTTAACAATTGTATACAAATCCATTGTTGCGATTGTATATATATTTCTATACCAAGTTTTGTGTGCACAATTCCAACAATAGTCGTGAAGAGTTCTTCAAATTGGCGTGAGATCATTTATAAAATGTTATGAAAAAAATATAAGAATCGTGTTATTATTAACAAAGCGCGCGAAGGAGTAGTTTTCAATTTTTTCGTTTTAATATTTTTTATTTTTTTAATATTGTATCATTTTTTACCCTGTTGTGATACGCCTTTTTTATTGCGCCCTCGATTGTGCCGTTAGACGATATTCAGGGTCGTTTTTCGTGTTAAATCTGAGTGTTGTGTTTCGTATTATTTATTGATTTAATGTTGGGTTTTAGAGGTTGAAATATGACACATACAAAGGACAATCTTGTTAGTAGATTTTTTCTATTGAATGCTTTTTTGCTTTGAATCACATTAAAAACATTTTACACATCATCTGAATCGACTTACGTGATGCGAACGGGTTTGATTGTGTATTTTTTTTATTATTGTATATAAAGATATCAAATTTTTATGACTGAGATGTGAGACGAATAAAATATTAAGTTGTTTCTGAGTTTGAAATGAAACATTGTAAAGCTTCCACTAATAATTATAATTTTTATTTATTTATTTATAATTTTGTCGTAATTTTTTTTTGCAAATTAGTTACAATATAAAAAGTAGCAAAAGATCATAATAATTCCGACATCATTCAGAATTTAATTTTACTTTAGTTTATTTGAAAAGACTAATATTATATACTAATTAATATACTATACTTTAGATTTGAAAAACAAACAAAAAAACATTTGCTGAAACTCAATACTAACTTATGTTGATTAGTTTTTCATGATATTCAACCGAAATTTGTAATCGTTTTCTTTGTTTTAACCATTAAATTTTTTTAAACATTGTTCTCAAAAAATTTAGATCGATTTTAAAAATTCATAGTATATATATAAAAATCAATGGAAAATCGTGTTGACAACAGACGGTAAAAATATTTGTCTGTAATTAGGAGTCAAAATTTAATTTTTAATTTAATTTACGCGATTTGCTTCAAAAGCTAAAAACTAAATTAGAATCATGTCAGTCATGTACTACTTAAAAAATAAGGCGTTTACAGGAATTTCGTCAAAAAATATTCTTTTTATACATTAAGTTTTCTCAATACATTTTATACTAAATTATCTAATAAAATTGCAATGGCCCATGTGAGAATTTTTCTGATATTATCGGGGCATTAATTAAAATGTTGATATTTTTTTCGTAAATAATTCAATATTAAAAACGTCAACGATTTAATTGAGATTAAGAAATTATATATCTCCACACATTTGGCAACACTTTATAATAGTAATAGTTAAAATTAAGAATTAATAATATTAACTATACGATAGCAAAATTAGCGTACGTATTTTAATGCATTATGATTATAACAAACCTAATATAATTCATTTATATGTTGAATTTGTGAATTTAATTGCGCCTAAGAATTGATACGCGTCTCTACATTTGTTATCATAATTTGTTCACGGTGTTCCTATGGATTTCGCAATGTTTCCAATTTCACTTTATATAAGACGAATATATTTGGATTAGTTTCAAACCCTCAATTTCATCTTGTCCTAATGATACCCCGCAGTATTGCCTCTGGTATTGCTGTCATGAATGGCTTATCTTGATACTCTCAGGAAATCTGTACCAACTTATACCTCATGACTCAGTATATACCTAAGGTATATATACATACATATTATATATATATATATATATATATATATTACAAATATATACAAAATCCAAAAATCAAGAGGATTTTGTAAAAATCGAAACGTAATCTTCCACTTTGATTGTATTAGCGATAGGTCAAACTAGTGATAAGACAATATAAATAACTTTTAAAAAAGTATACTTTAGGGTTTTATAGTTTTGATATTACTTGATTGTCCATACCACTCATGCACTAAATCCTTACACAATTACAATAAAAAAAGTAATTTTTTGACTTATCAAAAAAATTTCTAGAAATACCTTACTTGGTAAAACGACGTTTGTCGGGTCAGCTGGTATATATTTTCGACGTTGAAACAAATTTGATATAGTAATAAACTACAAAAAAAATCTAAATAGCCAAAATAGCCAAGCCCATATATGTAAGAAACTGTATATGTATATTCATCAATTGGCCTCATATATATGTAAAAAAATTAATATATTAATATTAGATAATAATTAGTGATCTGCTGAAAAAAATATGTTAAATCTTTAGTATATTTTAGGATTTGAAATTTTTGTTGCTCTTATTGCTTCAGCTCCATTAGTCTTTAGGTTAAACCATCCATTGATATTATTTTTGACGTATACCTAATTCAAATACATTTAGTTATAGGTTTTTTTCTCTTTACTCAAAATTTTTTTATTATAAAACTATTAGGTATTTCACTAATTTATAATTCTGATTAAATGCGCCTAATTTTAATGATACTTGCCAACATAGTTTAGCACATTTTTTGGGCTTCTCAAAGTCAACCAATTTTAAAACTTTATGGTTTTACAAAAAGTTTTATTTCTTAGGAACTTGAGGCAATTGTGTCATTTTTTTTACTGTAGTCCTAAAAGTATTATTTAGAATTACAGATCCCAAATATAAATAAACAAAATTAATAAATATTAACCCTATTAACCAATAAATTGTTACAATTTCACAATAGTCTAGGTTGCACTTAAAAGCTCATAGTTTTCTAACAAATAACGAATTTTTTTTTTGGACAATTACGGTCAATACTATCACCTTCTTTCGGCTTGATGTTGAGTTCTGGGACACCTTGAATATTGTAATTTTTTTGCTACTTAGTGTGAAGTCCTTGCTAATTCATACTGTGCAATTCATCAAGTATAATACATTATTAGTTTCCTTAAATTTCACCATATTTTAGGTCATAATTTCCTAAGAAAGGTCATAATTTCCTAAGAACTTAAGATAATATTTTTCGAAACAATTACAGTCAATACACCTTGTTTCGACTTGATGTTGAGATCTGGAACACCCTATATATTGTTCATATTTTTGCTCACTTTCTGTAGAGTCCTTTGTAATTCATACCATGCAAATCATCAAATATAACATATTACTCAAAAGCTCATAATTTCCAAACATCTCGAGATATTTTTTCGGGACAATTACGGTCAACAGTAGCAGCACCTTGTTTTAGTTTGATGTTGAGTTCTGGACTACCCTGTATATTGTTAATTTTTCTACTCAATTTGTGGAGACTTTTTTTTTTATTCATTCCATGTAATTCATCAATTTAACATATTATTGGCTTCCTTTAATTTCATCATACTCTAGGATCCATTTAAAAGCTCATAATTTCCAAAATACTCGAGATATTTTTTTTCGGGACAATTATGGTCATAGTAACACCTGGTCTCGGCTTGATGTTGAGTTCTGGGATACCCTGCATATTGTTAACTTTTTTGCTTACTTTGTATTGAGCTAATTCATACCATGCAATTAATCAAATATAACATATTATTGGTTTCCTTCAAATTAACCATACTCTAATTTGCAC